AATATTTAATGAGGTTAAAACTTGTAGTTAACGTGTAATGGTTTAATAAAGCATATATCAGAACTTCGAAATTTAGAAATCCTGACACTAGGAAAAGATCCTGAAAGAAAATTCATTGCACAGAAAGAAAATTTAATAGTATATTTCTGTAGATTCAATCCCATAGCAAGAAAATAAGAAATTTAAATAGCCTGTTTCTACAACATAATTTAAGCATTCACTCTATTGGCACAATATTAGATATAATCAGGACTATAGTTAGTAGTGCACAGGCACTTATCCTTCAGAGATTCTAATTTGGGAGTCACAAGAAATTAGGTAACGTAAAAATGCAAACTTGTCACTTGGATACTGTATACTCTCTCAGTTTTTAATATATTTTGGCTTGAACAGCAATAAGAAGAAGAGGGGAAGAACTATAACTTTCATTTTCATTGGTTTACATACATATTTGCCCACATTTCAAGTGCTCACAGCCACACACAGATACAACATCTTGTGTAGTTCTATTAAAGGTGTAATGTATATAATGAGAAGTCAAAAATATATTGGCGGCAGAGGCAGAATATAACTATCAGATATTGAAGTAAGATTTTACAAAAGTTTATAAAGTTGGAAAATCACGAAACCTGCCAGTATCACATAGTTTATTCATTTGCACATGAAGGTTCAACACTCAAAATAAACTACACCTTTTACATTCCTATACGTGGTTGCATATTTAGAATAACATATCAAAAAGAAGTGGTGAGGTTATTTCATCCGTGATTAAGACAATTGATGACATTGCATATTATATTTCAAATTATCTACTGGCTAGACATGAAAATCATTTTACTGGAATTTTGTTATTTGTTTGATTATGAAAAAGCTATTTTAAGTGGTGGTACTACACCAGATTTTAAAAAGTGTTTGTTTGATCAAGTTTGAATAGTCAGGAGCACATCAATATTCCTTCTACTGGGGAAGAGATCATATTTCTGTGTAAGAACTAAGTTCTATTATAATGTTTCAGAGTCTAAATTTTAACATCCTTCACTGTATGAAGACCATGAACACAGTATAATAGTGTAATCTCCTAAAGCTAGGGCTACCTAATTAACTTATGAGCATATCACATAAAGCTGTGTAAAACTTGTATCATCCTATTTAAACCATTACAAATATTATCTAGGTTGAAATAATTGTGAAAACCGTCCTAAAATTTTATTAACTAACATGAGCGGTCTTTATTCCTTTTTGCCTCAATGATACGAATTATTTGGCTACCTACTATACATTTCTAACCTTTTCAGCCTTTCTCAATTTGTGTTGTAAAAATAATTTATATAAAGTAATTAAAAATATGAACGAACTAGGTTAAGTCTTAAATTTCCACAACTGCAAGTAAAACAGGTTTCATAATTATCTATTTTTTGTTTGTTAAGTATGAACACATACCGATCGTCCACGAATTCAACAATTTCATAAATCACTTATGGACGCTAACTTTTCTAATGACAAATATAAAGAGAAAAAAACAGATTTTCTTCATTTGTGCCTTTCATTTTATTTAAGGGCATTTTTAGATTTGAAAAACAAAATAGAAGAATCACCAGTCAGACACTAAGTGGAAATCACTGAAACACAATGTTAGTTCTAATGGATGGATGATTGTGTTTGGTCTTTTGAAACTTTGAAGTATAGGTAAGTCTTGATCACACAAATTAATAAATCCTAAAGCTGGAGTTAACAATAACCATTACACCCAAATTCTGCAGCTTAGCCCAGCCAATTTTTCAAAAGGTCAGGTTGTGAACTGGAGAAGATCAGGGAGGTCCACCGCATAGCTTTGTTGCCAGGCATCTCTCGTCTGGATTGTTGCAGGCATTTATTAGTATTCGTCAGCAGACTCAACAGAGCAAACAAGAAATTCAAGCACGAATAATAAAATGAAATGCTGCTATATAACCCTTTGTCATTCAGCAAATATGGGACTTTTTAGCTACATTGTTCCTAAACCTGGGTTACTACTTTAATTTTTCTCCACAGTGCTGACTGAATGAGTATGCATGTGTGTTAAATGCAGAGCTCCCCTAACAACTGCAGGACTGCCATTTAATCTGTTGGTAGATGGACCATTTCCTGTGGGAACCCTAGCTATGATTTCCAGATCCACCAAATAAATCTCAGATTAAGATTCCAAATGAAACCTGCCTTTGGCAGATAAAAAATGTCAAGATGGATATAAACAGTAAAATTATAAATTATCTAGGTGTTGCATGACAAACCAATGTTCAATTTTTTTTGTTGACATGTGCCCAGATATCAAAACTATATGAGACATTCATCAAATGTCACACTTTCATAATATTGGAGGCATCATTAAAACTGTTTGACTAAGGACCTCAAAGTGTTTAAGCAGTAGCTCAAAAGTATATTTGTGCAAAGTAGAAGAATAAATTTACATATCAGCAGCAGCTCATAAGGGATGGGTAAATATTCTGTTTATCTCTCATTGTAATTCAGGTTACTTTAAATACAAGGTTTTAGGAAATCATTATACTCTATATGGCATCATTACATAACTTTCTATGCAAATGATGTGTATTTTATTCATTTGTTTCCCCCCCCCCAAAAAAAACACACACACAAGCATAAAAGGAAAAGGTAAGGGACTCCCATTTCATCAATCAACCATGACTAGTACACTAGTGCCTCGTTCGTCAGTTATACTATCGTATCATCAGCCCCATAGTAGAGTTAACACTGGTAACTTTTTAAAAAAAGCACTAAATACCTGAGGCAAAAAAAAAAAAGTCTGAGAAAAGTAAAAAAAAAATTTTAATGTTTTCATTTCAAATGACTTGGGGAAGGGGAAGAGACTTAAAAAAAAAAAAAAAGGTAATAAAAGACCAATACAGTACATCTTAGAGAGCAAATAGCCTGTTAAAAATGCAGAGGAAGTCTCTAGTGCATTCTCAGGAGATCAAGTATTGGCTTTTTAATGAAAATTTTTGTTTCGTCTTTGGTCTTCTTACCTGGATTAATTCAGCCTTGTCCTGGTCTTAAACTCTATACTGGTTGACTATAATATATGGGCACTGAAGATTTCTAAAAGGAAACAATCAGATTTGCCCAACTGAAATCATTAACTTTAAATGCTTAAAAACAATTGTGTAAAAGGCTTCAGTGACTCCAAATTTGCAACACCTGATTTTTTAACAAAAATTCAAAAACATCTAATCTTAAAATAGGAATTCTTTCCAATTATAAATTCTTTACACTTAATCTGTGGAAAGAATCCAGAATACTCTACACTCCATATTCCAAATGCTTATACACAAGCCTGAATCCTTGAAGATTACAATATTTGTTCTATATTTCCTACCATATTTCCCCTAATACATGTTGTTGGTTCAAGAAAACTAATGCTAAATAAACCCCACCTATCGTAATCTGATCAACATTAACCTGAAAGTTCTGAATGGGGGGAGAAATAAAAAAGATACTAAAGAAAGAAATAAGGGTACACCGTGCTTAATTTTTTCTTTTTTATTATTTATATATATTTTTATACTTGTAGCAAGAATTACTATCAAACTCTACTCATTGGGCCAGAGACCCTTGTGGTGTTAGCGAAAGACTTGCCCCTCATGTAGCACACTACCTACCTATACTTGCCAGTTCCTCAGCCAGCCAGAGGCCTCAACTCCAAGCTCTAATAATGTGCATGTGCTTAATTTTGATTATATTTCTATACTAAAATTGTTCAAAATCAATAAACATTACTATGTTTTGGCTTATGTCAAATTATCCTAGGTACAGCCAGTGAAACTGCATTAAAAAAGAGAATTTAATTTTAATTAAAAAAAACTTAATTAGCAAAAACTAATATATTCAGTATCTATTCAACAAGTATAATTTTATCAACATGAACTGATCACTTTTAACTTTTCACCCACTAGCAGAATGCTGATTTTAAAGTACCAAAAAGTTTCCACAGGTGAAGACTAGACTCTCTCAAAAATTAAAAATGAAAGTTAAATAGGATTTTTAAAAATAATTACTTTTAATTTACATCTATCAGCACAATTTTATTCTTTGGCAAAGAATTATTGAATTTACTCCAAAGCTATAAATTAGAGTATTTTTAATTTAGTCATTTAGACTATGAAATTTCAAAATTTTGTAGCCTGATTTGTTGTTTGCTTTTTCATATTCCCCAAGAAAAAACAAAAAACACAAAAGGCAAAAACAAAAGAAAAACTGCATCTGAAACTACTCCCCAAAAGATAATAATGTCCTAGATGTTAGGTCGTTTTGTACACACACATATATACATACACACACACACACACACAGTTGGAGTATTTAGTGACCCCCCAATTTTTTATTCAATTACCAGATTTATTGATAACCAAACCTAGTGAGTAAATGGAGTCACATCAGTGCTACTCTACAAACAGTTAACCTGGACCGACTGTGTAAATGGCCATAATTTCAGTCTATACACCAATGTATATTGATTCAGATCTCCAAAATCAACAAAATGCCAATGCACACTCAGGACTTTATAATAATCACACTAAAGGTGAAAAATATAGCCACTATGGAGACCAAAATGGTTATCTTAAATATAAGACGAAATCCTAATTTCTAAAAAAAATTAAAGATTCAATAATACTGTATTAAGATCTGTGTTGTAACTATGTATTCTAGGAAGTGCTCTAGCATGAAAGGGCCATAACCAGAAATCGATGAGGATTTTTATCAAAGACCTCAGAATCTTAAGGATGGAGAATTTAAAATTTTTGAAAAATTCAGGTATTTTTTTCTATTTCAAAAAAACATATTCATATTTTCATGGCCACAAATAAATTTGATAGAACTTAAGACATAAAAGTAGAGTTGGATTTCCCTAAATCAAAGAAATAGTCACAAGTTGTACAAAGAGAGGATCATACCAATAGTACAGAAATAATGGGGGAGAATGAAACATTAAAAAAAAAGAAATTTACCATTTGTTGTGTTTATTCTTCTTAATAATTATCATTTTTATAAATGAAGGACCAAAGGTGTAGTGAGAATTCCACACGAAGAGTATAGCCTGAACTGATTTAAAACACTTGAATAAAAACAAAAAAACAAGGTGAGACTTCTATTACCCCGCAAACTTTTTCCCTTATTCAGAATTTATACGTAGGTTCATCAACTGTAGCAAATGTTCCACTATGGTGGGGATGTTGATGGTGGGAAAGGTTGTGTGTGTGTGTGCGCGCGTGTGTGTGTGTGTGTTGTGGGGGGGAGGGGGTTAAGGAGTAGGGAGTATAGTGGGAACTCTGGACTTTCCTCTCAATTTTGTTGTGAACCTCAAGCTTCTCTACAAAATAAAGTCTATTTAAAAATTACCAAAAAATAAAGGGGAAAAATACAATTTATGGCATAAATTCACAAATGTGAATTATTCATATCAGAAACAATGAATCTCAAAACACAGCTCATAAACTTTATAACCAGTTAGAAAACTTTAAGTTGCCCTTGTAAATTTATTTTTCATTCCATTCTGCAACTGAGGCCAACAGTAGTTAATGGAATCATTCACATCAAACTTAAAAATAAAGACACAAAGGATCCCATTTATTTTAATGAAGTTATTTAAAGTAAGAGAAATTTATTTTTTTATGAAAGAGTATAGCCTCTATCATTCTTTTAAGAGTAGCCTTAGCATTTCCTCTGTAAATGAATCAATCCTTGTTGACTAGCTGCCAGTAGTGCTAGAACCACTCTCCCAAATATTCTAGATGGCCATGTGTGAGAAGCCACCACCACCCTACTAAGTTAGGTCCTATAGAGATAAATAGTAAGTTTAATCAGACCCAGGACATGTTCTTTTTTAACCCTTATATGGCATATGGAAAATAAAAAATGCATTTTTAAATTCACACTTGCCAAAAGGAAACGAAAGGTACATTGTGCGGTGCCACTCGTCTGAAGATTTTTATTGCAATTGGGATTTCAATACAAAATTAGACTCTACCCTAAATAAATATTATTGATTTTATATTCTATTCTAACAAATATAAACATACCAAATACAAGCTATGCTACGTTGAAAAAATCAAGCTTCTAATGGTATTGTGAACATTATATTTGAAAAGAATATTTTATAAAACTAATAATAACCATTTCAAATACTTTTGTTTCTGTTTCTTAATAGTTCTGAAACTCTTTTATAGACCTACCTTTCACAGCTGGGTAGAAGAGAAATGACAACCAAAACCACCATTTATTTAGATCCTGTAAAATATGTTAACAATCTTTTCTTTCCTTTTTTTCTTTTTTTTAAAGCATCTGTAAAAAACCATTATCACCACCATACTAGTGAGAAGAATTATTCTGGTACGTGAAATACAGATTATATAAACTCATCTCCTTTTCCAGGTGTTATAGTGGGCTTTACATACACAATCCCTAATCTCCAAAACAGTCCTAAAGGAATTATCTCCCTAGTCCATACATAAGACAACTCAGGCTTAAAATTATGGCTAGCTCCAAAACCTATGTTCTTTCTACTTTAACATTGTATTGAAATTATTAAATGCACTGGTTCTCCAGTAAAATTCACCTTCTGCTATGAAACAAACAAAAACATATTGCAATACTTTTTAAGGAGAATATATCATTACTTAATAGAAAGCCACTTATTAAATATAATTCAAATCCTGGAATTTAGCAGGGAATGATTAATTATCTAGATTTCAAAATGCTCAATTTCAAGCAGTGTCTAATCATAATGCCTAGGAATCTCTTTTTTTCTACCAGCTATCTTGCTGGTAGAAATGGATGGCCATTCTATGCAACTCACCATTCATTTTCTTCTTCTCTGCTTTAAAAAGAAAGTTTTTGAAAATGACGTGAGATTCTACACTCATATTTTAGTCACAATGATCAGACATTTAAAAGCATGGTAGATGTTTTTCTATAGCATTTCTAAAGATGTCTCCCCTTATAAAATGCTTGCAAACCATGCAACAGTTTTAGATATAATTCAATTACAGAATAACAGATGGACAAAAGGTAAAAAGAATACATACTTTGTGAAAAGACAGAAAGATAGATGAACCAATAATAAAAGAGGCTGATGGTGGCACACAGGTTCCAAATGCCAAGCAAAAATAAACAGTATTCTGACTCAATAGGAAACTAACAAATCGCTGACGAGTTACCTTTCGCTGGGTTTTAGCTATTTATTTTGCTTAGTAGAAAAACCATCAGAATCATGGTTATAAAAGATAATTGTTAGTCTAATTCTAAAGTAAAGAAGACAGTTGTTTTTTACTTAAATTCAGTAAGTTAAGATTTTTAAAATATTTGCTAGCCTCCAGTAAACTATAATATGAAAGGACTTGAGGCACTTCTAGCAGTGGTTTTTCATTTCAAGTTTCAAATGAGTACAGATTTAGAATCATGTTCGCTTTGTAAGCTTAAAAGAAAATAGTTTAAAAACACACGAATCATATCTAAATTGAGATAATATATGTAAGTAAAAATAACTATGTATAAACTACATATTAAATACAATTCCCTAAAATAGTAAACCTAAAAATCATATATCATAATCATTCGTAAAATTCAAAGGTTTTTGTCTGAAGCTTCTTCAAGCTATATGATTCTTACCATTTCTTGCCTTCATTTGGTAAGAAATATTTAAAATACATTAGACTTAATATTTAATTTGGGTAGGCACAGTAACCTTTCTTAACCTTTCTTAGGGAACACTGACCCCTAAAGGTTCTAAATTTAAATAAGTTTCACCATATTCTAAATTTAAATGGCATCTGGACGTCATTTTTCCCTATATTATTGTAGATATGTATACTTATGGCAGACATGTTTGTTTATAAATATGTATTTTCAGTGGACTGTTGTGCATTATAAATAAACAACTAAACCATGTGTCTGCTAGTTTAATAAAAATCACCAAAATTTAATAGAGATATCCCGAAATTTATCATACTATTCCAAAAAATTACAGAGACTTCTGATCCTCATGCCTTTTTTCTTACCTAGTTAAGTAAATAAATAAGTAAATGCTTAAAAGGGCTCAACAACCAATCACATAACAACTCACTCTGGGGGGCTAACTTTACATACATCCTTTGATTATAACATTTCATTTCTTTTTTCTGAAAAAGCAGAAACAAGAAAAACCCTGACAAAGTTTTCACAAAAGGGCAAAAAACATCATTTACTTCTTAAGAAACCAGAAGATGTTACCAATGCTCACTTGGCAACACATGTTCATTCACTCACATATTGCTTCCAACAACTTCAAATGTTCTCCACTTAGAGTAAAAACAACTCTTCAAGAAACCTGGACACATTTTGTAGATGCCCTCACCCAGCCTACCTACCAATCACAGCTTTACATTTTCTGAACTGTAAATAATGACAAAAACAAAACAAAAAGTAAACAGTTATGTCTGTTCACATTATATACCTCATCAACTCGGACTTCAAATATTTCAGCAATGTTTCTACAATAAAGCTAGGAAAAGAAGAGCCACTTTAGCACTCCTCATAATAAAATGTGTAAGGTGACACAAAGGCCTGTCTGTATAATACAAGTTTTTAGTTAGCTCCATTTCTTTAAAAAAATAAGTAAAATAATATGAATTAAAATAACTAATTACCCAAGCAGACTATGAATATGAGTTTAAGACAGAGCTTTGAAGCAATTTGTGTTTTAAGATAAATCCTGCAAACCTTGATGGCAAGACAATGACCATGTGAGATTTTAAACATATCAATTATATCACAAAACTCAAAAGATACATTTACCTATTTAATTTTATTTCTCAATGTTTCATTAACAGGCCCTTTATATAAAGGAATGTCTTATTCCTATTTCTGATGTAAAACAAAAAAAAGTCTCTAAAAATGCAAATTTTCTTAATGATGTTTCAGTCACGTCTATTGTAGTCTGTGCCTTCTGCAAACTATTTATGCATCTATGTCTTTAGCCCTAAAACCTTCCTTTCTGTAAGTGTCCTAGAGCTTCAGCAGCTCCCTTCCTTAACTTCTTTCCTGGTTATTCTACACTTACGAGAAGTATTTCCTCCACAGCCTGTAGCTTTAGATATATTAAAAATAATTCCTTTGGTTCCGTAGAGATCCTTTTGTCTATAATTTGAACAACATGACTTCCACAGCAATGTGACCTCTGAATAGGGAACATAAATAACAGGGGCATCACTATTTACTTCCTCTTTTCTTATTATTGTACATAAATTGAGTAAAACTGCTTTGAGCCCTTGAAAAGAAGAATGTTGCTTGTTTATTTGCATAAATGAATAAAAACAGCTACAAAAAATTAGTTCCCAGCTTCACACCAGCACAAACTTGAATATAAAGAAAGCAGACGGAAATTAAGTGTCATAAAGCCCATTCACTAAAACCATAAACTTTGAATTAAATACCTATAAACTACCTTACTCAGATATTACTTGCTATTACTTTGTATGTAATTCAATCAGTTACCTGTATTCTAAACTCATAACAAGCAGCCTAGAATCACAAATTAGAAGAGAAAGCTTGCTAATGGTAGGCAGAAACTGCAAAAAAAAATTTATAACAGTATGGAAATCAAAAACAAATGCAGAAATTGGAAAAAAAAAAGTATACTCAGAAAGCAGAGCATCTTCCTATAATTCAAAAGAATGTGTAACTATTAACTAATTTAATAAAATGATGATAGAATAGTACCCCAAAATGGCCTTTAACCTTCTGAGAAAGGTAACCGTGTGGTTGATATATGGTGGAAGAAGAACCCTGTTGGGGGAGGGGGAAATCAAAAAAGGGAGAGATGTGTGCAGTATTTCGGTAATAATCTAAAATTTAGAGGAACCAAAAACAATGTACACAGAGATTTAAGCCTTCGATTATATGCAACACTATATTCAGAATGATTAGTTTCCTAGGGATTCCAAATTTGCAACATTTTACTCTAAGAGACCTCAAATTAAAACAACCTAACATTTTTTAAACCTCTCTCTTTATGGCTCTCTGTATCTTGCTCTATAGGGAGACAGAAGTGCCCTACCTGCCTGCCCTGCTTACCTACGTGTGTCTGTCTGTCTATCTATCCATTGCCTCCCTCTGCTTTTCAGGCCATCTCTCAGTCTGTGTCTTTTAAACTGTGTTTCCATCTCTGGCTGTTCTCTCCCTTTGCCCGTGCATCTTCTTTCTGTCTCTCTCCTTGCCTGGGATTCTGTCTTCATGTCTCTCTCTGTCTCTATCTGGGAGTATCTTTCTCTGTATCCTTCTGTACATCTCTGTGTGTCTCTGTCGCTCTACCTCTGGCCCCCTCTGACTCCATCTCTCTGTGGGTGTCTCTTTCTGAGTGCATCTTTTGGTGTGCACCTGTCTCCACATATGTCTCTGTATCCGAATGTGTCTTGGTCTGTTTCTCTGAGTGCATCTGTCTCTCTCCATGTATATGTGCGTCTCTCTCTGTGTATATCTATCTTCTTTTACTGTGTCTTTTTTCCTGTGTGTGTATATGTATGTTTTTCCCTGTCTCTCTCACTGTATGTCTCTGTCTCTTTCTACTGTGTTCTTTTACTCTATCTTCCTCTGTGCATCTCCAGTGTGTTTGTATCCACATGTGTGTGTCTTTCCCTGTGTGTGTGCTTCCACATGTGTGTCTGTGCCTCCCTCATGACTTTCGTTTCTCCCTCCCTGTGTCCGTGTCTCTCTTTGTTTGTGTTTCTTTCTCTGAGTGTGGCCCTCTGTATGCATCTCTCTCCCAGTAATTCTCTCAATCTCCTCTCTCGATCACTTTGTGTGTGTGTGTGTGTGTGTTTCTTTCTCTTCCTGCATCTCTGTTTCCCCTTCTCTCTCAGTATCTCTTCCTCTGTGTGTTTCTCTTTCTCTGTGTGTCTTTCTTTGTGTCTCTTTGTGTGTGCCTCTTTCTTTGTATGTGTGCGTGTGCGCTTGTCTGCCTCCATCTAATATATTGGTTAGAACAAACACACTTCATTCAGTGCCTTGAACTAGCACAACACCTGGGGTTTGGTATTAATACCTTGAAAGTCCTTACCTTTTGACCAGTCCTCCATTTATACTTCTGTTCTTGTTTGCTCTGGCAATGTCTCTGGTTTTTGCTCCAAGATTTGAAGCTAAAATAAAGCCAACTCTAAATAAATAAACTTAAAACAATATATCAGAACACACCTAAACCTTACCTTTGTTTAACAGAGATTTTACAGGATAAATGGTTTTCTAAAACATCTATAATGGGACTACTAACTGTATATTTCAACAGGTGAAATTAAATCATTTTACTCAGAGAAAGATTCTTTCTTTCACACTTACATTTTAGTAAATACAGTTCAGGTTAAGCTTCTAGACATTCTCACTACTTAGGTTAGAGAACTATTTATTTAATTCAACTTAAGTTTTTTCTAACTCCAACAATTTAAGAAAAATAAAATTTATATCCTATATGTCATAAACTTAATACCAAAAATTTCAAATTTATTGATTTGAATTTACAATGTGTATTTTCATATGAAACATTTTATACTTGTAAAAATAATTTTAAAATACTATTCAAATTTTTTAAAAAACATAATGACTATTACTAACTTATGGAATTATTGATATTTGTCTTCCATTTGTTTTCATAATAAACATGACAAAACCTATGCAAGCGTTTTTTTTTTTTTCTTGGTATGCCTTTTAAGGAGAATAAAATTTGATTTACTCACAGCTAGAACTCTGCGTTCTTTTAAAAAGTCCTCAAATAAAGCTGTAGTAAGCTTCTCCTTTTCCAATTTTCTCTAAATATGTTGATCTGGAGTTGGCAATCTTTTTCTAAGTTCCTCATTTACTTTTGGATTAGCTGAAAATATAGGAAGTTATTAATATCAAAGAAATATGTCCCAGTCAATGAAGCCATTTCCCTACATATTGCCCAAAAAGGTTAATAATAATTGCAGTCTTTTAATAAGAGATTCATATAGCAAGACATGTAGAAAATACAGTCTTTAATAACCTCTGGAGTATTTTAAAACATGTCTTACAGGCCTTAATGTGCTTAGTAATATACTATTTAAAACCATAATTTTATCCCTCTGCAATATACAGTCACTCTTCCTCATCATTTACCCAGCTAATGAATGCCAGCAATTAGTAAAATGTAATCCCATTGCACAATCATTTTAATGCTTTTAGCACTCAGAAAAGTAAACACCAAATTAATACTGCTCAAGCCATATCAGATCCTAGTTGGAAGCAAGCAATTATAGTTCAGCTCCTCAGGTGTAATTAAATGATTGAAATGATTTAGTTCCATAAATGCAAGTTAATTCATAAGCAAGCAACAAATATACTGGGAGTAATTACAAGAAACATTGACAGTCTAAGCAGGGCTAATTCTTTTAGGAGCCTGATATAGTAAAATGCTGCCCTCTCCTGGGCATGTAAGTGAATATCTCAGAGCCAAAAAACAAAACAAAAACCACTTCCCCAAAACCTAACTTTTAAAAAGTTACTAGAAAATATAATAATAACCAATATATCAATTTGATTTCATACCTTATACAGCAAAATTAACATATAGTTTATACTGTGATCATTTCTACACACCTGGTTATTAATGCTTTTTCTAATCAAACTCTGAATATGAGTCCCAAAACATACCAGGCAATATCTATTGTGCCTAATGAAACAAAATCACTCATATATAACACTGACAGGCTACAAGTGAAACTTCTAGTACCCGTCTGGACTGCCAGGCCAATGCCTATATTCTCTCATTGGTAAACCCTAAGTGGACTGTTACAGATAACAAATCAACTATGCTGTTCATAATTATGAAAATTTTCATGAAGAATAATCTCTGAAAAATATGAAACAAAATACTGTGTTATTCTAATTATACATAATGGTCTAAAATTAATTGTTTTTAATGAATGTTAATAATAAAATAAAAACTAGAGCGCTGGTATGTCATTATAAGCACATTTGAGAACATAAAGAATAACAGGTGGTACACAAAATAAAATGCATTCTGTTTTTACTTAACACCATTCCCAACTTTTTACTTCCTTAGGCTAAAATTCAGAACAAATTGACTCGTACACTACTCCGATGACCTTAACAAAACTTCTTACACTAAACTTTAAGAAGGTTATTTATTACACATTTAAGTTATGCTATAATCAACAAATCTGTGTTAAGACATAAGTATTTGAATCACTAAATCCAATCAGAATCATCCTTTTGACTGTCTATAAAATTGAATATATTCTCAGATATTACCAACAGCACAACAAATGCTTAATTCTCCAATAAATTCAAACAATACCTGCAGAGGATAATGTTTAATACTACCGATATTTTTGTGGAGGGAGGAAGCATTATTGTTCTTCTAATATGCTTTCAAATGTATTAAAATAACCATATTCTAAATCACATCCTATCTAAACTATAAAAATAAAATAAACCAAAATATTAAAAAAGTCCTGCCACTAAGTTTAAAATGTACAGCACATTTGCTTTGCCCTTGATGTCACAGTCTTATTTTTCAATTCATATCTTGTACACTGTAAGTTAATTGCTTTTGGAAAGTACTTATTATTCATGTAAAAATTAATGTGCCAATGTGTTTAAATCCTCTTAAATGACCATTCATGCATCTTTCTTCTTTAAGTACCAATGAAATCTGTCAAAAGACATCAATGCAAAATGGTCTTAAAGAAAGTTCTAATAGAGATTTTTTTTCTGCTAACACAAGATATTCATATTCACCAACTTTAGTTAAATTCCATTAATTTTTTAAGCTACTTTTAATAAATTCACCAAGTAAAATTTTTAGGCCCCATAGTCCGTCATTTGTGTTCCAGCTGACATTATGAATATTAATAACAGTGTTATCCTGATTAAATAGGATTCATATGAAATCCCTGTGAATCCTATAGCTCAGACATCTCATTTTTCCAACTCTTTATGAATTTGGATTCAGACATTAAACTGGAAAAATCTTAAAAAACAGATTTAATGGCACATTTGCATATTGTCAAGCAAAAATTAGATGTTCTAATGATTCAAATAATTACAATTTATATATCTACATGTCATAAAAGGAATAGAAGATTTCTGTAAAAATGCAACATATTTTATACTCCTATTCATTTTAGGACAAAAGATAAGACTAATAAAATACTAATTCCTTTCCTTACACTCACCTTAAAGATTTGGTATCAAGAACTTGTTTTAATTAAAAATTATATATTCATGTTAAAACTAGCTGGAGGATTTTACAGTAGACACCAGATAAATTAGCCTCCTTAATCAAAATACTAACTTATTATACCACAGACAAAATATATGTTAATTGCTTTATCATTACTAATGTATACCAGGTTCAGGTAGCAAAATAAAATCAATTTCCAACTAAAGGTTGTTTATAAGTTTTGCTGGAAAAAATTACCAAGGTTAAAAAAAGATTTTAAAAAAATCTTTAATATAATAAAACATACCACATTAGCATGTTAAATTAAGATCTTCTCCATCACAGATTCGTAACCTCATTCCTTCAAGTTGCTTTTAATTTTCAAAGGAAATGGTCTTATTACACAGAAAAAAGGAAAAATAAATAATAATTAAGGAAACCGCATACCCCCTTATCTCTCTAGGTACATGGGAATCTGAATGTATCGGCCAAAATTTCCTACCTTCACCCTATCAAAAAAAATGAAGATTGAAAAAATTTAAACAAACATCTCTATGATCTCAAATGTGACTTGACTCTTTGTTTACTCAGCAGTAAAACACCTCATGAAACAAAATGTGTTCTTTGACCAGTCTAAAATTTCTAATCTGCCTAAAAAATTTTAAGTGATTTTGACATTTCTCCTTTAAAATTAAAACAATGCCTTTTTGGGGCGCCTGGGTGGCTCAGTCATTAAGTGTCTGCCTTCGGCTCAGGTCATGATCCCAGGATCCTGGGATCGAGCCCAGCATTGGGCTCCCTGCTCTGCGGGGAGCCTGCTTCTCCCTCTCCCACTCCCCCTGCTCGTGTTCCCTCTCTCTCTGTGTCTCTGTCAAATAAATAAATAAAATCTTTAAAAAAAAAATGCCTTTTTGATAGAGAGGCATTTTATTTAAAAATGGGATTCACCAATGTAACAATACCCAGGATTTTTAAAAACTTATTTTAAATAGGAGATGCCCTTCCTGCCTTCTTCCACAAAAGCCATATTATAGCAACGTTTTTGACTGACTTCAGTTAATGGCATTTTTTTCATAACACATCTTTATAATCACAAATTTTTGTAAATTGAATCCAATAGTGTCAAACTAGGACTCGTTTGTAATACTGCCTCGTATCCAATAATAACTAAGAAATTCTGAATTTTCTATTTGCTAGTTGTGAAAGTAGAGATAATTTCTGCATTTCTGAGAGCCAAATATTTTATCACATAACTCAACATACACAATATATGCATATGTTCCACTACTGGATTTTCATCTTATTAGACAAAAGTCTCTCAAACATTCACAGTTCCCAGCACATTCTCTTCCAAAAAGAATTCCTTTCACTCACAGTGCCTCATGTCACAGCCCATTCCCTACCAAGCTCTAGACAACCCAAGTTCTTCAGAGCCAGAGAAAGCTAGAAGTTTAGGGAGAAAGGGTAAGGGATAAAAGAGGTCCCATTCCATAGCTATCACAATGTAAAATACATACACTATTTAATCCCTCAGTTTTACTACTAAAAGTATTTAAAAAAATATGTAAAATATATTTTTATGTATAAAGACTCACTGAAGCCATATTTATTTGTAAGAGAAAATATGCTCTAGTCATATTGGATTTCTTTCTGTTTCTTGAAGTTACCAAGCTCATTCTTGCCTCATAGTTTTTATACTTACTAGTTCCTCTGCCTAGAATTCTCTTCTCTGGCTCTCTAAACTATTTTTCTCATCATTTAGTCTGTCCATCTTTCTTTATTTCATTTGCCTGACCATCCTACCTAAAGTATAAACTCCTCTCTCATCATATGATCTATGCTATTGCCTTCATGAAACTAATTTGGTTAGGTTTTATTTCATCGTTTCTGATATATCTCAATCAACTATGTATATGTCAGTTACATGCAAGCAGAGCCCAGGATTTATTCCTTCATCTGCTTTCTTAGAAGGTGTTTGGCATACAGTTAAGTACGCAGTATATATTTGATGAACAGACATGTGGATGGATGGATGGCTGGATGGATCAATGACTAGCAGAAAACAGACCTAACATAAATGTTCATCAACTGAAAACTGGTAATATAAAATGTGGTATAATCATAAAACAAATCTATAAAATTTGTATCATATAAACGCATACATGTACTATGTGTGGAAGATTCTTTCAACAAGCATCTGTTAAGCACTTATATATTATGTGTCAGACATTATTCTAGGAGATAGATATAAAATGATGAATAAGACATATACATTTCCTACCCAAAATATGTCTTTAGCCAAAACAATGCAGGAACAAAACATAACTACAATAAAATAGAGAGAAATGTAAAATTATACTTACATATACATACATGCTTGAATAGGTGTAGCAAATACACAGGAAATTTTTACCAGTGGTTACTCTAAAAAAAGGACCTAAGAGTTGAGGTGGGGATATTGAGGAATGAGAGAAGGTAGTATTTTATTTCATTTTATATCTATCTGTATAATTTGATTTTTTAAACATGTGCATGTATTATTTTTAACTTAATATTTATTAATAACCTTTGAATTGAACCGGAAATTATTTGTTGAAACTATTTGTAACTATTACACCTGAGAGATCTAAAATGAATAAAGGACATAATTTTTATGACTCCCTTGA